CTCTTTCACAGTTGGTGATCTACATAAGTCAACCCAGGCCCTCTCAGGCCCAGCTGCCAGGAGGGCTGCCCCTCTAGACTTCCTGGGGAGTCCCAGCAAGTGAGTCAGTCTTCTCCCTTTCCCTCCTCCTTCCCTGCCTGCCAGGGTCCTCTCCTTCACCCAGCAATTCTTCCTCTCTGGAACACAAAGCTTCCTCTTCTTTCTGGTTGAGGTTATCTTAAAAACTCACACCAATGGATTAATGGAGGAAGGTTTGAGAGTCTGCAAATACCAGCCTTAAAACTCTGCGGGGTTTGAATAGGAGCTTCCTGACTGTCCATCCCTTTACGAAGCTATGCCTGAACCCCCACTCCCCCCAAGAACTACTAGTTAAAGGAGGAGATGAGACGGATGCTGTCAGGCTAGAGAGGATAGAGATCTATCTGTATCCACCCACATACACACTTGGGTGAATCTGGTGTCCCGTGTCCTAATTTATTTTGGGGGGTTGGGAGAGGTTGGGACTGTGGTCTTGGCTGTGGGTTCGGAGAAACTTAAGAGGCAGTTTTGGAGGTTTATAGTCTCAGTAAGGCGTCCTGGTGGCAAAATGGTTATATGCTGGGTTGCTATCCACAAGGTTAGAAGTTTGAAACCACCAGCTACTCCAAGAGAGAACTGCAAGGCTTTCTACTCCCTAAACGAACTCCAGTATCAGGAACTCACAAGTGGCAGCTGTACTTTGTCCTATAGGGTCGCTCTGCGTCAGAATCAACTTGACGGCAGTCAGTTGTTTTTAAATTTTGGTATAGATACACAACAGATTTAATTGTTAAAACATGTAAATGTGAATTTGAAATGCAAATCAAAATTAGCACTCAGATGTCTCACATCTCCCTCACTGCCATCGAGTCCACTGTGGCTCAGAGCGATCCTGTCAGGTGAGGTCGACCTGCCCCTGTGGGTTTCTGAGACTAACTCTTCACGGGAGTACAAAGCCTCATCTTTCTCCCAAGGAGCAACTAGAGGGTTTGGACTGCTGACCTTGTACCACACCACCATATAGGTCCACTCGAGTGCACAGGGAAGACCTGAGCTTTCTAGCCCCAGATAAGGCTGAGCAGATCACCTGAGTTAGGCAGACCGCTTCACCTTCCGAGCCCTTCCAGACGTGACTCATTTGCTCTTCACCTTGGGACAGACCGATGGTGTCCTGGAGCTGGCACGGGGGTGGTTTCTGTCGAACCAGACACAGTTCGGTTCTCAGCACCAGCCTTCCCCTCACATTCTACACTCATGTTTCAAAAGTGGGAAGCATCTTTGTTGAGTAAACTGGCCACCCTTATCCACAAGCTGAGCTCCCAGGAGCAGTGGGCTTGGGAACAGGAAAGGAGGGCAGGGGACATTTGCTTCCTTCTGTATGGAAGTCGAGTCGGGGCGAGGATGACTCATGGTGACACCAAGGGAAAGCATCACAAATGGCCTCTGGGGGCATTTGACATTTTAAAATCTCCATCTACTTCTTCATTCTTGGTCAAGTCGAGCAAGAGGCAGCCAATTCAGCACAGGTGATCGGCTTATCATCCCTTCCTTTGGGGCAGCAGCAGCAGCAGCTCAGCGACTTGAAGGGGTTTATTTAACCAAGCTCTCTGCTTTCAGGTGCAGGTGTGTTTAAACCAGATTTAGGGAAGTAAGAGACAAAAAAAAAAAAAGAAAAAAATGTCCAACAAAGATTAAAAAAACAAGTAAGGCCTCCACGGAGAACCAGAGGATTCAATCTTATTGTCAGGAAACTTGTCTGTGCGTCGTCACCCTAAACCTTTTCAGAGTCTACTCAAATGCATTCTCTGATTTACGTGATATGCTGGGACCCTGGATGCATGGTATTTGATGCTCTTGAAACGAGTCCCCGAATAGCACACATAGTTAAGTGGTTAGCTGCTGATCAAAAGGTTGGCGGTTCAGGTGCACACAGAAGTGCCCCAGACACGATGACCTGCCTGGTGATCTATTTTGGAACAAAACCAATCATTGAGAAAGTCCCGGGAGGCATAATTCTACTCTGAAACACGTGCACCGTCATCTTGAGTTGGAATCAACTGAATGACAACCGGTCTGGCTTTTGGTGTTAAGGCTTTGAAGCAACGCACCCATCCTAGATGGGTCCCTTATACACTCTGTGAAGGCCCAGACCCTTTCTAGGGTGAGAGGGTAGAGGACAAGCAAGAAGAGAGCAATCCGAGTGGTAAAATAATGCTTTATTCCATGGATGAACAAACGCTACCATGCCACATCCTCACTTCCCTCCTACCAGACCTTGTGGCCAGAGCTGGCATCCCCTTTCGACCATGTTGGCTTCGTTGTCGGTCCAGCCCACTGAAACAGCAAAAGCATGAACATGTAGCCCTCAGATCGGTCCAGTGTGTCGGCATGTTGGCTCTTCTCACAAATGACGGCGCATCACCTTAAAGAAATCCTGGGATGGAGATCTGCCAATCGACTTCACCTCCAAAGTTCATGTGGATGACACCCAAACCCCCAAACACCAAAAATAGCAACATGGACATAGCTTCTCTGCCAACGAGATGCCAGAGACACCCACAGCAGGACCAGGAACCGGAGACATCTTCCCTGACATTTGGGTTGTCAACAAGCTCAAAAGGAAAGGACAGAAATGGATAGATTTCAAACTAGCACTTCTAGAGAGTTTCAGATCAGCCAAAGAGTGTTAGCATGCATGCTAAACACAAGATTAGTACTGTGGGTGGGCGTGTGGACCGGGGACAAGTGCACAATGACGGACGCACATTCCTTTTCTATATACAACAAAATGAAATATACACTGTGGATACTGGCTGTACACTTGGTCAAAGGGTAGTTCACAAGGCTAACATAGGACATCACCCTTACTGGATGCAGCAGGGTAAGGGCATCGAAGAGATCCCGGATGACAGCCTGAGGCACTGCCTCATCCCCAGCTCCCTAGAGACCCCTGTGGCTCTGTGGGACAGGGTAGAACTGCCCCTGAGAGGTTCTGAGACTGTAACTCTTGACAGGAATTGAGGTGTGTGTGTGGCGCTGGCATATACCACGGACCCGGGGTGGAATCAAAGCATTGTCTCTTTTTTGTTTGTTTCTTAACCAAATGCCATCAGAAAAGCCTGCCAACGTACTGAGGTGGATGAGGAGGGTTTTAAGGAGATATGCAGACAGACAACAGTGAATCAACAGCTGTGTGGTAGAGCAGTGCTCTTGAGTCCACTTTTTGTTTGTTGTTTTTAGTGAACAGTACCTGATGTTGCTCCCTCTCAGATCTTTGCCACGTCTCCGCGGAGTCTCAAGAAGCCCCTTAGAAGAGAGCAGTTACTCTCCGGCGGTTTCTTCATCCCCAAAGCAGCACAGTTACACGCTGACCAAGGAAAACAAAACAAAGGAACACAACAAAGTGAAACACAGCCAAACAACCCCCTGATGGGAGACTGTGGAGTGTCAGGGAAAATCATAGAAAAACACAAACGAACGCCTTAAGGTTAACCATTAGCATCGCCGCAGTCATATTTTGTACAGAAGGACGTCTGTCATCTCCGTGCCGGTCCTTGGCGATGTGGAATCTCCGGATTGCAGAAAGGGGCAAGCCAAGACGGGGACCGGGACTGTTAAACAGAATTGTGCTGCCCTTGTGGCGGCCACGGCACAGTTACATGGAACAGGATGTGGTGCTGCGGAAGTAGATGGTAGGTCTTCATGAACGTGGTACTCTAAAGTAGACAGCAGGTCTTAATGCTACGGCTGGAGAGCTCGAATGTAAGGGCCAGTTTCTTCCAGGCCTCCACACAGGCCTTTGCTACCATGGTTCCTCATGCTTGGTTCCTTGTGGGAGGGGCTGTCTGATCCAGCAGGGGTTCCCAGGAGGCAAAGAGAAAGCAATGCCACCGAGGCTTGTTGTTCCCATCTGGAATCGGGCACCCTTGATGACGTACCTCCACCCGGGGAAGGAGCTTATTTCCGGAGCAAAGCTGCCTTGGTCTCTGAGACACACATGCTATGAAACGGAGCCCTCTGGCCTCCCCTCAGCCCTCGGAGGGGAGACGGAGGGCAGGGGACATTTCTCAGTTGCATATTGTTAGAGAAGGAGCCTCGCTTGTGCTTAGAGCTGACTCGGGGTTAGTCCTCTTCTTCATCCTCTTTCGTTGGGACTGTGGGGAGTTTGTCTTGGATCCTGAAGCATTCCACGAAGAAGTTGATGATGGAGCGGTACAGGTGCTGCTTGAGGAAGGCGCTATGGAAGTAATGGCTTTCATCAGGGTAGATCTGCAAGGAAGGCACGAGAAGTTACCACTCATGACCCGACCTTTCCAGGAGGCCGGGAAACAGATTTCCTTGAGGAGGCACCCAAGACACCGGGCCTAATCAAAACCCATGCTCCACACAGCTCTGCATTTCAGCTGATGAGAATCATTCTCTCAGCTAGTTAAGTCGGAATGTAAATAACTAGCTTCTTCTATTCCTGGGTGCTTTGCCTGACAACCCATGCTAGAAGGGACCTTGCGTTCCTCCTGCAGTATAGAAATTAGCCTTGTTATGAAGATAACCAGCAGCCCCTAGAGCACCCATCCTTTCCATGTGCCGTGGGCTCTCAGGGAGAAGTGGCTAGATCAGTTAGGAGCATTTTATGGGCCAGACCCATTACAGTCTGGGCCTGTTTGAATCTGCAACACGGATAGCTGTTCAGGTTTCTGAAGGCAGTGGGCCAAGCTTTCAGGGCATTAGGACTCTCTCAGAAGAAAAGTAGAGAATGCTGTGCTTTTCCACTAACTGCTGTGAATGGTGGAACCTTGCATTTCTCAGCCCCATCCTCTAGTCCCGCTTCCTCGGGCTCAGACCAACCCTGGCTTGACTACTCTGTACCTGTCTGACCTCAGGCAAGTTAACTTTTCTGGCCCGAGTTTCCAGTTGCATCAAGTGGGTTGATGAAAATAACAGGAGATAAAAATCTCATAAAGTTAGGTGAGAGAGAGAGGCAATACTAAAGAAAAAAAGAAACAACAAAAAACTCCTCCCAAACTCACACCGACCCAAACCTCACTGTCACGGAGTCCTTTCTGACTCACAGCGGCCCTGCAGGACAGAGCAGAACTGCCCCGGAGGGTTTCTGAGACTGAAACTCTTCACGGGAGTAGAAAGTCTCATCTTTCTCCCTTGGAGCAGCTGGTGATTTCAAACTGCTGACCTTGTGATTAGCAGCCCAGCACAATGGTAGGTAATTATTAGATTTGGCGCACCTGGTGGTGAAACAGAAAGGCTCATGGGAAGCCACCCAGAGGCATCATGGAAGAAAGGGTCTCACAGTTTTCTTCCCAACAAGTGGCTTTGAACAATCCTCCCTCTGGTTCTACTCTGACAAAACGTAAGTAGGCGTCTGAGCTGCTCGTGCCCGCTCATCCCCCAACTATGGCGCAGGTGTGCGTGGTCCTTCCGAGCCGCTCTTTCTCTGCGGAAAGAACTTTCCCCGCTGCTGCTTTCCACGCGGGAAGCCAAGTTGTTGTGCACACACATACCTGTAAGCTGTAATTAGCCTTTCCCTTAATTAGTTGTGTAATGAGTTCTGCCGTGTGCTGGAAATGGATTTTTTCTGTTAAAAAGAAGAAGAAGAGGAGCAAAGGGCTTGTGAGAACCCAGAGGGCCATCGGGGTCATGTTCGCGCGGACAGGCACGGGCGGACGCGGCGGGCTTACCGTCAGCGGTGGCATGGATGAGGAGGAACTGCTGCTGCTCCAGGGCAGACACGCGGTGTGCCACCTTGGTCATCTGCGCCCATAGAGGCAAACGGAGGTTGTTAATGGAAGGCACTGCAGGTGGCCAGGTATTTTGTTGGGGACCGTGCCAGGGAAGGGGAGGGAAGCCTACCAGAGCCACAGCGTCCTAGGAACCTGTGAGCTTTGAACACAGTGCACAACAGACTTCAGGAGCCGTCAAGGGAAAGGACAGGGTGATGAGAGCCCAGCTGTCCACACGGTAGAGTCCACTCTGACCCCACAGTGCGGCCCTGCCTACATGCACCAGGTGAAGAAATTCCAGCCTGAAGACCTACGTGGAGCTAACTGAATTGCTGTGATTGAAGTCGTTGCTATGGTGAAAAGCACACACTTCCTTGGCTGCTGCTAGAAAGGCCAGAGATTCTAGTCCGCCCAGAGGCACCTTGCCAGAATGGTCTGGGTTGCTGCTTCCCAAAAGTCAGTCACTGAAAACCTTCTGAAATGCAGTCCTTTAAGGCACGCAAGGGGTCACTGTGAGTTGGGGTCCGACCCTTAGCCACCGTTCTTTTTCCTTATTAGTCATTATCAGATTACTTGCTCAGTGGCCTATGTATAAGGGTCCTCACCTATGTATAAGGGTCCTCACCACAGGACACTTCTGTGGACCTACGAAGGACCCTCCATCCCAATTGTTTCTCAACTCCCTTCCTAATTCCTCAAGTTCTAGAGACAAAAATCTGCCTACACTGTACATTGGGTGGAGAGAGCCCATGTCAACCTAGAGTCACAATATGATGTAAGGACAGATCCAAAAGATGTTCTTGGAGAGGGCTTTGGTGGTGCAGATGGGCAAAATATTGGGTCCGGGAAAGGAAGCATGTTCTAGAGGTAGGTCAGAGACTTGAGGGATGGGTGAAGGGAATTCAGAGAAAGACCAGAGACAGAGAAGCCTGCCCAATTTAACCCATTTTCCCACTTTGCCAAGTGGCAGTTATGCTAAGACATACCTCGTATGCCCTGTTGTCAAGTCCATGGAGACCCAGGTACCGTTCAGAAAAGGCAGAAGCTTGAAGGGAGGCAGAGAAAGGGAGAGTTACCTTTTGTCCTAAGACCCCACCAGGTGCAAAGGTCAGGCTCGACCTTTGTGCCTCTGGGAGTGGTGGGGAGGGCTCACCTCCACTTGCCCCCCCCCCCCTGCACACTTTTATTTTTTAAAACCCACTTCAACTCTTGGACCTTTCCATAAGTAAACAGCGGCTACAGTTGTGACATTTAAGTATGTTCATGTTGGTGGTTGGGGCTTTTTTATCAGTACGGCAAACCTTAATTAAGCAAAACCTCATTAATCTTAATCCTAAATAAACAGGATAACCTTCTACTTCATCTTTCATTTCGGAATATAGAAAAGGGAACAGATACGATGAAGGCGGATTGCCACCAGGGTTTAACTTATTTTTAAATTCTCGGCATGTCTCCAGCCCAGCGTGTTCCCTCGATCCTGCAGTTGCACCCCAAGCCTTGGCTCCAGTTGTAGCTTCTGGAGGAGGGCTCCCTTGTCTGGAAGATGACCGAAGCCACAGCGAGTCTGGAGCTGGGTGTGTCTCTCAGGTTGGAGAGCGTGTGAAACGTCTACTGGGTTCCGGGGTAACCTCAGCTCATCAGAAGCAAAACCATATAGGATCTCTAGTCCTGGGTCCTGTGATAAATCGAGCCATGGGGTGGGAGCATGGAAATCTAAATTAGGCAAATTTGGAATAGCATGATTAAAGAAATGAACAAAGTGTCACTGAATATGAAAAATATGTAATCGGCTGCATGCTTTCCCATGAGTAAAGTCATTTAAAATTATTCTGAATTAGGAGAGTTCTTGTATAATTAAAAGCTAAAATTTGCATCGGAATGGACATGGTAAAGACAGCACATCTGCTGTGAGATGTAGGTTGGGCTAGCCAGAGGGCGTAAAATCTATTCTTGAGATGGTCTTGGCATTCAGGTGGGATACACTCAAGGTCATAATTTTGCTCTCATGGACTTGATTTCATTTTCTTCAGCTTCAGCTCTAACTTGCATGTAACCGGTTGATGGCCTGTTTCAGAGTTGGTCTCTGGCCTTATTCTGCCGTACAGTTTAGAGACCATCTCAAGAATAGACTTAATACATTGAACACTAATGACAGAAGACAGACGAGTTGTGAGATGCGATCCAGCACATCATAAACAAATAAAGAAAAAGTCATTCAAAAGAAAAGGGGAGAAGGGAAAGACAAAAATGAATGTCAGAAGAGATTCTAAACTTATTATAAAACTTAGGATAACTAAAGTGAATGGAAGAAATGATGAAGTAAAAGAACTGGTCATATTTCAAATTGCAGCTTGAGAACACTAAAATCTTATAATGACATGCAAAGGCTGGAATTTGAAAAGAAATTAGAAATAGACAATCACATTGCTCAAGCTGAAAGAGCAGAAGAAAAAAAAATTCAAGCTTCAATGTGCAACAGTGAAGGATTCTATTAGTCAATTATTGACACAAGAAGCAACAAGGGAAGGTGGAAGGAATACACAGAACACTGCATCAAACAGAACTGGTTAAAATCCAAGTATTTCTGAAGGTAGCATTCCATCAAAAACAGAGGACACAGCTTTGCGTGCTAAAAGTGAAGAGGATTTGAAGCAACTATGGATTACAACTCAATGTAAAAACAACAAATTCTCCTAACTTGATCAATAGACAAAATCATGATAAACCAAAAAGGATTGAAGTTGCCAAGGATTTCATGTCACTTGGCTCCACAATCAATGTTCACAGAAGCAGCAGTCAGAAATCAAATGATGTAGAGCACTGGATTTATTTGAAGTGTTAAAGAGAAAAGACGTCACTTTGAGGACTGCAGTGTGCTGGGCCCAAGTCATGGCGTTTTCCATGACCCCACATGTGTGTGGAAACTTGGCACTAAGGTGGCTGGAGAATTGATGGGTTTGAACGCTGGCATTGACAGATAGTCAATATTCCGTGGACTGCCAGGAAGAGTAAATCTCTCTTGGAAGAGGTACAGCCAGAATGTTCCTCAAAGGCAAGGAAGGTGAGACCTGGGTTCACATACTTTGGACAGGTTATCAGGAGGGACTAGTTCCTGGAGAAGGAACTATCATACTTGGCAAAGAAGAGGATCAGCTCAAAAAAACCCAGAGGAAGATTCTCAGTGAGAGGGATCGACACGGTGGCTGCAACAAGGAACTCAAACATAGCAATCACTGGGAGGCTGGCATAGACCCTGCTGAACAGAGGGTCACCATGAGTCACAACAGACTGGATGGCATCTAACAACAAAACCAGGCAGAGGACAGCGGTACCCCACAGTCTCTGGATTGCCTTGTGGTTTCGAAGGATGGGCAACCCTGCCAGCCGAGTGGTGCCGCTGGGGTGCAGGACTTGTTCTTACTGTTCTCATCCCTGTTCACTGTCAAGGTCGTGGGTTCTCTGAAGCCCTGCCTCGAAGACCAATTCACAAAGCCCCACACACCACTTCCCAGCACTCTTACAGACATGTGCCAGTCACAAAGCCACTCATATTCAGAGAGAGGGGCTGGTTGGCCAGAGGGAGGAGACTATGAGGTGCCTGAACCCCGGAACAGTGATAGCAAGGTGCCATGTGTGTCTGGCAACAAATCTTTCTGACAAATCATCCTTCCTGACCCTGCCTGGGAAAAGCTATTCTCTCCAGGAAGACATTGGCCAGATGCTATAGGCAATGCCCGAGGAAGGGTGGCAGAGAGCAAGGGAGAGGTGAGTTCGTTAGATCCCTGCTGTCTCATCATTTAATAGGCACCGTCTCTCAACCACTTACTCCTTCCCGCTGGGTACCTGCCAACGTGTGACTCAGCTGTGGCCCAGGCAGACTTCGGGGCTGAAGGCAGAGTTTGGACAGACCTCTTCCCTTGTGTACGCAGGCCTGTGCTTCCTAACTCCCACCACTGCAAGGGGCGTTGCTGGCTCTATTTTCTACTCCTGGGTTTGTCCCTTAGGAGGACAATTTTTATGTATGACGACCGTCCCCATGTCATGAAAACAAATGACTTGAAAGTTGCCCCTTTTCTTCCCCAGGTGCTTTTTGTAACACTTCACCTATTTGCATAGGTACCAAAGTCATTCATTATGGACTGTGGGGTGGGGGGGTTAGAAGAGCAGGGATTGGGGTTTTAATGGGATGGGAAGAGACATACTGAGTCCCTATCAAGGACATTTACCATAGAGCTTGAAGTCTGTTATCGGAGAGAGAGCAGAGCCACAGGCGAAAATCTGACCTTGATGTTCATCCTTCACTGGGAGGATGTAAGTGCTCAGGTAGCCACCGTAATCCTAAGAAAGAGAGAGAAAATGAATGGAGAGAGGTTAAGTGGGTATAAATATCAATAACCTAGTCATAAAAATAGTGTTAGACATAATGAGATCCATGGCTCAACCATTTTCATGTAGTTTTCTTTTCTCTTTTTTAAAAATTTAATTTGCGAAGTTTCAAAGAGAGGTAAAGTATTATGTGTTGTGAGTTGTCCCCTGTTCTGGGTCTCAGTTTTGCACACCATGAAGATGGAATGTGATAATAAATAGGATTTCCAACTGCAGACTATGTACAGTAAGGTAACCATGCAATTAAACAACACAGGAGGCAGTTGAGTGTCTATCATGAAAATATTTATATTATTGAACAGGCATGGGGATATTTGGAGGCAGGATGGTAACAATGATGACTAGCCTAGAGACCTCCCTGGCTCTAGAAGTGGGGGGATGGGAAGTGCATCAGTGCCCACATGTTGGGGAATGTCCACATTCATGCTGATCCTTGCCATGCAGGGTCATGGACTAGGTGGATGACACTCAGCCATGAACCTCCATTCACCAGAGGCTGCAGCCTTTTGACATGAGTCACCATATGGACGCTTCTCTGGTTTGATGATTTAGTACATGACTCTGCCTCCTTCCTTCCTCCCATTTCAGTAAACCTTGTAGGTGAGCGTTGTTGCATAAGCACAGAAATAGACTGTTGCCTTCCCTTTGCTGCCCGTGGCACAGACCAGCAACTGTAGAAGGCATATGTGAGAACAGTAATTTAGAACCTACTAGACCTCTCCAGCAGGTACCTGGCTTCACTTTTTCTTTCGCTCCAGATAATGTGCAAAGGAACATTGATAATTGAGTGGGTCAGATAAAAGCCCTTATTGCTGGAATTACTGAGCATCGAACTTCTCGATTGTAAAGTTTAATTGCTCACACACCACCAAATTTGAATTGTTCCCAATAGATCAAGATTAGGTGTGAATAATAAAGTGATTTAAAGTGCTGGAACCAATGAACGTGTGGAATAGAAGGCAGCACAAACTCACCTTCCCAAACACAGCAACACGTGTTTTGTCAATGTACTGTTCTTTCAACATTGTCCTGCAAGGTCAATGAAGAAGGACGGGATTTAGTGCTCAAATAGACATCATGGTCACATTTCCCCCCTGCGGCTTGGGATAGTGTTTTCTCACCACTTCAAGTATGAAAACCCTCTCTTAAATCAAAGGAAATACTGGGAATCTCATATCATTGCTGTAGTGCTTTTACTTAGTTAGCACATAGGCAATACTTCCACATAAAAAACTCCAAATGTCCTTTGCAAATGCTCCAAGCATATAAAGCCTGCAGATGGAGACACTTTAATCAAAGAAATAGAACCTAGAAAGAGACTTCTAGGTTCTGTGTGGGGCTTTCTCCCACGTTACTCCAGGTTCTGCTCGCTCAGACTCAGAGATGGTCCTCCAGGCTGAAGAGCTCTGGTTAGTGGTGCAGGGGTGAACAGTTGAGCACCTCAGGGCTCTTTGTTCCCCCACTTGGGAGGAGGTCCCTGTCTTGTGGCATTACAGAGGCAGCATCAGTCCTCCTTTGGGCTTCTGGGTCAGTCCCTACCTCAGCAACAACTAGCTTAGTGCCCCAGCCTGACTTCCAAAAGTATCTCCATACCCTTTTCCATTGGGGTCCCTTATTGCCCCACCAAATGGTTGGGGTGTTTCTTATTTCTGGACCCAAATTGAGAAGCAGGAATCCCGCCACCTGTTAAGTGTCTAACAAAGATTGCTGGCTGTTCTCTGAATCCCTCAGTAAGGCCTATTTCTTTGGCTACATCCA